AAAATTGAACTGGACTTAGCAAAGCCAATGTAGCTTCCCGAGACTTCCCACAGGGTAGAAGAAGACAGTAAGTGGATCTGAATTTTGGCCTCACATTGCCTCAAAGACCAGTCCATGCACACAAGGGTAAGACTAGTCTAAAGTAACCGGCATTTGTCAGGTGGTTGCATAGAAAAGTATTACAGTCAATGTTCAAATTTCTTCACATAATGGGGTACATGTGTCAAGCCCATCTTAGGGGCGCAGCTCCCTAATAAATAAGGAAAAGTATAACCGCCATACTTAGGGAGCTATTAGTTAGGATGGCCATGTTCGATTCATGGCATTAGTCCTGATGTAGTTGCTGTAAGTTATGGCTCTAGCGTCTCAAGACCTCCTATAAGGGAAAAGACATTAAGTTGAGCCTAACATATGTGTTCTTGGGAGAGAAAGGTGATTAACTTTGAGCTTGGTCGGTAAGCCAACTTACATGAACGAGGACCAGACATAAGACAGCCACATAAACTGCATCGAGTAGAAGTGGGAATAATGAGTATCAGTCTGAGTGCAAGAACGAAATATGTATTTTTGGCGGTTGGAATTGCAAAAGAACGTTAGACTTAGGCATTCTTAATAAAACAATCAATGATCCTTTCTAACTTTGCAAAAAAGATTTGAGGCTTTGAGGTAATATGTTATATTTTTCAAAATAGAGCTGTCAAGAGGTCTTGGCAGCCTAGTTAAACGTCTTTGTATAAAGTTCAACTATCTTTGTAAAGTTAGTCTAACTAAGCTATTTTTAACCTAAATACTAGCTTTGATAGCTTTGAAGACGCTGTATGCTTCCTGGTTGTTAATAATAACGTTGGAGCGATTTAGTGAGGTGACAAGCAGAAGCGCGCTTGATTCACGGAATTTTTCCGGTCCAATTGGGCCACAGATTGTTTCGGACTTTTGAGCACACGTAGGCTATTTTCACATTTGTTTGCAAATTTTTTTCACTTGGTTGTTTTCTAACCGTATTGTGATGAAAAGAAGATATTCCGACTTTGTAGTTGACAAATTTGTTACACTCGTTGGTTTAGCTATGTTTCGTTGCCAGCCTAGTTTCGCGGTACCCCAACCGCTTCTTTGTAAATGTTCACATGGACATCCTACTATCTCCTATCGTTTATTGAGTTCACTGCGTTACTTTACCTCTATCGATTAATCTCAAAGCTATATTTTGGAAATTTCGCGTCTTCTTGCTTTAGCTTTGGGTAATCTAGGCTTAGGAATGTTTTCAGTATACGAATTCTACGACCGCGATTTATAAGAATTTGTTTGTGGAAAATCAGCTTGCCCGGATTTCATACTTCTTTATCGCTTCATAAGGTTCTTTGTCAGCAGTTCATTTTGTTTGACCTCCCCGAATAACATCGCTTTTAACTTCGTACGTCTGTTTTTATTGTTTGAATACCTAACTGAGTCCAACTAGGTCGCTTCGTTTTAGACTGTCTTGTTTCCCGTGAAAAGTAAGCCATTTCTTTTCCAATATGGCCGCTGAGTGTGCACAAGTCGTCACGTTGGCGGACAAACAAAAATCCTCGGGAAAGTCTATTCCACCCCCAAAGAGCATTTGTCAACCCTTCACTCTACGGCTGGTTTTGGGGTAGGATTTTAATTTTCTGCATACATTCCCCATGATTAGGGTTCCGATCATCAAGGAGGAAAACAAGATCTTTAATGATCTGGAGAGCCTCTTTTCAAAGTATGCGCGAATCGAAGCTCTTTCCGCAAACCCACTTTCCGATAAAATAGATGTTGACCTTTTTTGGTACGTTGGTTCCATTGAGTCTGAACGGGCTTGTGTAGGAACCATATGCAGACTGGTGTGAACACTGTTGTGAAGCTGTTGGAGGATGCGGTACGCGAGACCTCGACATCCAAATGTCTGGATCCCTTCGCCGTAGTTTTGCTTGATTTTGCCTGGCTCAACTCTCAACTAGGGCATCATTTAGCCCACATCTGCTCTGGAACGCCTCACACAAGCCTCCTTGCTGTCAGCCCTCCTGGGAAACTCGGAAAGATGGTGAATTCATCCAGCAAGGTTCGTGTGTCATAGATGCAGTAGAAATCGGAATCTGTAGTTACTGTTCCGACTTATTATTTGTTTATGAAGTCGTCTGAGTGCTTTCAAAGTGATTAATCAATAGATATAATGAAAAACATTGGTAAGTTAGTTTGTTCTTATTCCTTCACCGAGTTCGCTACATCTGACCTCAATAAGGTCTCTCGTTCTAGTAGCTGCAAAACTATCGAAGGCATAAGTGTACAAGGTGATTTACGGCCGCTAATGCAAAATTCACCGATCAACTATTTGCGCGAGTTGCCTACTCTGCATTATCATGGGTGTTTCCAATAGTTAGTCTCAGTAGCAAAATATCCCATCGCCTTAAGCTGTCCGGCTTACGCTCTTCCATTTGGATTGGTGAGAAGATCAATTCATTGCTGCTAGATGAAGCTTTTGTGCAAGATCACTTTGAGTTCATGCAAAATGGATTGAAATTTGCGCCACTTTATGGTTTGGTTGCACGATTGCTGTCGATGCGCTTCCTGATCCGACCTTGGGTCCGGCGATTAGCAATGTTGATCTGAGACTTAATAACTTGATCAACTAAGCATGTTTTGTGTACTGCCGTAGCTACTGCTTTGACTTATGCATTAATGTTAAGGCGAGTTTTTCGCTTTTAATGCATTTAAATACCGGCATATCAGTTCTTTTAGCTCTTCACTTAGTTTTTCAGAATCTGGTCTCTTTTATCGTCGGCGTCGTAGTTAGACTCTTTGGATTCATTCTTAAGTGCCAACCTTTCTTAATCTTTGACATTTGTGACTGTCCTGTAGCGTGATTTTGAGTTAGATAGCCCTGACAAATGTTTAATAATAATATTGTCATAGCTGAACATTAGCACAATGGCTGTACCAGAGGGTTCAGAAACAAAAGTAGTCAGCCAAAAAGCGTCAATAATGCACTTGCTGAGGCATCTTTCCTATTGCTCTGATTTGCCTCAAAATATCCACTGTCGTTTTTGTCTGACTTTTTCCACTTGAAGTGAATTATTCGTTATTTGACCTCAAATTTGTTACGTTATTTGCCGATATTCATGAACAGTTTATCATTCGAAATGGGTGTTTGATGTGTGCTCTGCCAGTGCTCACCTCTGTCCTTGAGGAATTCTATTAGTTTTTTACCATCTTTTTTGTTCTTTGTGTAATTTTTGTTCTCATGTTTCACCAATTAGGTATTCATTTCACATGGCCTGTCCAAGGTGAATAATTCGATTAGATGATTAACTTCGTCGTGTTTTGCTCTGACATCGCTTTTTGACCGATCAAATGTGTTACATTTATCCATTCCTTTACTTTTATGCACATTTGATCTCCAATATTTAAATCCCACTTCCTTTGCAAATGCTTGGATATACAGACAGTCCCTTGATTAATATATTCCCTACCAGGTAATCTGTGTGGGAATTAGACCATTAATGACACCGCAATGTGCGCGCTTACCACAACTGCGCGACTTCCTTCGAGCTTGTGCAGCGCTAACGGGCAAACCACTGCCTCCTGACCCTGCGGCTTCTACTACGGCATCACTTACCGCTGCCTCAGTGACGGCATCAGGGGGCGCCGAAGGCGGTGTCGCGGGAGCCACCGTCGGGTCCACTCCCCAATACGTTCCCATCTTGCCAAAACCCCCTACTACCGTCTTCGTCTCCCCCCATGCCAACGTCGACATCACTCCTGCTTCTACTGGATACGTGGTTGCTGCCGGTGGTGGTACTCCTGGTCTCATCTCGAACTCGGTATGTACTCTTCCCTTTGGAAATGGTCTTGATTCTACACCATCCATTTTAAATGGTGTGCCTCCTGACAACACTTCACAACTGTACTCTGCTTCTCCATCTTTTCTGAAATATCAATGTCTTTTCAACTACTTGCTCCCCTTCCATTAACCTACTCATGGCATTTGTTAGATGAGTATTACTGGAGACCATAGGGCGTCCCATAATTTGGAATTTTTGTCATGACTATTTCTCTATGCCTGTTATTTGCTTTCCTGCTCTTTCGGGGTTATGATCTTACTATCAACTTGTTGAACCCTTCTAGTAACAATTCTTAGGCTTGATTCTTGTACTTGGCTACAATATCTGAAACTTACACTACATATTTCTGTATGCAACCCTCAAAACTATTTCGAGATTTTATAGAAGCATCATACCAGTTTTTGTAACTTCATGCCAAAGCTACCGATGTTTTGGGGTCTCCATCTTATCCAGCTGTTTTTTTCCAGTATAGCTTCAGTGAGGGTTTATGGAAATCATCACTTTCGTGATCCTGCAAGTTCGTTAGTCATGAACTTCGGATATCCGGTGCTCAATATGTTTAAAAGCAGTTTTGGGAGACCTGTTTCTCAGTATTGAATGATCTGGAAATCACC